TCTAATATTTTACTCAAAATAAGTTAAAAAGAATTAAGTCACCATGTGACAAAAGGCGAAGAAAGAAAGCATAATAAAATGTGTTGTATGCTATCAATAAAAATAAACTGCAAAGTTTTTCTTGGGGAAAAAATAGCTCGATTACATAAGAAACAAAGAATTACAAACAAGAATTAACAAACCCTATGGTTTAAGCAGTCTACAAAAGAGTGCAGAAGCCCATCTAGCCTGAAATCCCATGTTTATGTTTCTTTTCCCAAGCAGAAAGGAGTAACATTCATGTTCTATCACTCAAGATAAAGTGGTTTTCCCCCTTTCAACAGTTTTGTTCTTTTATAGTCAAACATTCAATAAACAGAAATTTGCCTACAACGGTTCCCTTGGCAACCAGGGAAGCTCATGTTTTCTGCTTTTGGGTATATATTTGATTTCCTAACATAGTTCTCCCTACAATTTCAAGCTCATATTATGAAATACTTTTTAAAGCAATATTCAAACTGAACAAAATGTTCTAAAAAGATTTAATGTTTTTCCCCATCAAGTGGCAACATAGGACTCAGCACGATGTAAAAGCATGTAAAGGAATTTACATAGACTTCTAAGTAACAGTGCTGTGCAGAGGGCTGATTAAAGAGGTAGCTGATATACCTAATCACATATCAACAATTATTCCTCATAATCTCAGTCAAAAGTCTGATTTAGTAATGATGGCGACACTCAAAAACCCTGACAGCCAGACTTGCATTTTCTGTGTTGGTATTCCCTCTAGGTATATTAGGTACAGCCATTAGTGGTATAATATGAACAATGAATTGCCTCAGAATTTGGACATCATCTTTCACAATAAACATGGGAATCCAGCGGTTTCTACAGGATTGCACAGTTTCAGATATAAACAAAAATATAGGGAAATATTCACATATTTTCCAGGTGATTCCAAGCACTCATATAAAAAATTTGAAAAAAAAAGAAGCTAGACTCAAAGCTCCGTACTGTTTGATTTCATTTATAGACATTCTTGAATTGGCAAAATTTGAGGAACAAAGAGATCAATGGTTGTTAGGGACTGGGGGCAAGGGAGGGGATGAATATAAAAGGGCAGCGTGAGGAAATTTTGGGGGGTGATGGAACTGCTCTGTATGTTTTTTTTTTTTTTGCTGTACACGGGCCTCTCACTGCCGTGGCCTCTCCCGTTGCGGAGCACAGGCTCCGGACGCGCAGGCTCAGTGGCCATGGCTCACGGGCCCAGCCGCTCCGCGGCACGTGGGATCTTCCCGGACCGGGGCACGAACCCGCATCCCCTGCATCGGCAGACGGACTCTCAACCACTGTGCCACCAGGGAAGCCCTGTACCTTAATTTTGATGACAGTGATTACTTGACTCTATGCATTTGTCAAAAATAATAGAACTGTACACCAAGAGTGAATTTCACTGTATGAAAATTCAAAATAAATACATTTTAGATATTTGAAAATATCTGACTGAATTATGTTTCTTTCTCTTCTCTTTCTCCTTCTCCTTCTTGTTTTGTTTCTAATTTGCTTCTTTAGCCATTAGGAATAGTTGTCAAAACTAAGGACTTGGCATCAGAAGACCGGCATTTGACCTTTGACTCCTGCATTATTTGTTGCATGACTTTAGGAGAACATTTTAACTTCTCTGGTTCATTATATATAAAATCGTTATGAGAAGAATTGACACCCCACCCATCCCACTGTATTTAGGAACTGAGTGAGTTGATCAATATAACGTCCTATAAACATTATCACATTTTATCTAAACATAAAGCTTATTACATAGGTAAAGTTTTAACTCACTAAAAATTACAGGGTCTTTAACAGTTAAATAATTTATTCTCTATTTTGAAATTTTCATTCCATTTTGGGGGACATCCTTCTTGTCATTCCATTTTGATCTACCAGCTATGATCTATTTATCAATTCTCTGTCACCAATCAAGGAACCTATGGGTTTCCCTTTTACTTCTCCTATTTTGTTGATATTGTTAACATGCCCTTTGCCTTAATTTTCACTAAAAGGCAGCAGGGTTGGGGTGTTGCACTATTGATACCTCAGAGTTATTCTTATTTAAACAAAAGCAAGAACCATCTGTTGAGCTTGAGGGCATTTGGGAGATTTGAAGCAAACCCAGATCTCATGTAGGAATGTCTTACCAGGCTTTCTTCCCCTAACATGTGCTGCTAATTAGCCGTGAGAAGGGAACAAAAGGTATAAGCAGAATATGTGCTCAACTGTTAAGGAAGTTTAGTTTGTCATAGATGGGAAACTGCAGTGAAGAGTCCCTGGAAACTACCTACTAATAATTTTATTCTAGTACAATCACTGTCTCTGCTCCTGTTATACTTCTGCATCATTTGGCTTCCCAGTTTTCCACTTTCAGAACAAAATTTACCTCTGAAAGTCCTAGCGGTCACTACCACCTCCTTCCTACCTCTGTTCTTCTCTAATATGAAGTGGCAGTTTCTGTCTTTTTTACCACATGACTCTCCCTTTTCTTCCAAATTCTTTCTCACTGCTTTTTATGTCGTCTTTGATTCTCATTTGAGAAGTTCGCTGTCAACTAATGATGCAGCCTACTTATCGCATGTGTCCCCAGACAAATAGTACACACAGACTACATATATATGTGTGTGTGTGTGTATATGTATATATCCAAATATATATTTAAATAAATAAAATACTAGTGAAATCCTATCAGAACAAACGCCAAGAGAGTGATCTAATCATTTTGCACTTTGGAACTGTCTTGAAATGATTATTCCTTAATGACTAACAACATTTAAAGTAGTATATCACTTTATAGTTGACAAGCTGCAACCTACAGATATAATTGCGTCATGCTTACTATAATCTTGTGAGATCATTCTTTTTTATCTACGTTTTAAAAATAGTAACATTGAGTCTCAGGAAGAATATGAGAACTTACGATTGCATGGAGACAAGGCAGGGAATTCAACTCATAATCTAGTGTCAAAACACATTCATCTCTATTCTTTCTATTTCTTCCTCAACCTCATTCACTCAACCTACTATTGACCTTTACTCAAAGAAAACAAAGGTAGTTCTTCCAAGTTTCCTTTGTAGAATCTGACAGAGGCCAGGGATATCCCCCGCTCTGCACTAGCACAGTGGTCACCTTGCTCCTGGCCTTACTATGATATAGACTAGGCAGTTGTCATGGTGTATTAGATACTTACATTGATTCATTTAAAAACAAAGGCCTCCAAAAACATGGAAAATCTATGAACTGGGTAATCATTCTTTGAAAAACTAAGTTGACAACACTGGCAAGGTAGGAAGGATATATTTACTTGGTAATATAATAAAATTTTTAACTAACAAAAAAAGTATCATGGATTGGCAGATGCAAAAGCCCAAATAACCTAAGATAACAGTAATAATCTCTATGTGGTATATTTTTTATTGTTTATTTTAGCCAGTCACATAACCCATTTTATTTGACTCTCAGGTGAAAACGGAGTATCTGCCCATTTTAAAGATAAACACACCGTAGTTGAGTAATTTCTCTGAAGTCACACAAGTAGAAAGGAAAGAATTAAGGACTATAATTTATGCCTTTCCATCTTTTTTTTTATGTATAACTGATTTACTTTGTTATAAAACAGAAACTAACACACCACTGTAAAGCAAATATACTCCAACAAAGATGCAAAAAAAACATAAATAAAATAAAATGTTGCCATTTCCTCCAAACTCTCAGTATTCACGTCTCATTATTAATTCACCACTCTGTTATTAGGTGTTACCACTGAATCAGTGATGACTCCAGAACTTCTGTGGAAGGGGTTTGGGGCAGGTGAGCAATTCATTCTGGGAAAGAGAGTCTAAAACCAAGTGAATGGCCCTTTACATTAGCATGGGCAAACTTCCCACATCCCACCTTGTCTCAACAGAGCCATTAATCTAGAAAAAACTACAGTGTCACTTTTCAGAGGTCTACCCTGTGTGCACACATGGAGAAGACATTTAGAATGTTAAAGTCAGCATGTTAAGTAATTTTCTTGAAATACTGTAACTAGCACCCTATTTACTTTCTTCACAGTCCTTTTCATAATCTATTTAATTTTAGTCCTTTTTAATTGTCTGGTACACCTTTAACACCTAAACTCCAAGAGAGAAGGAGCTTCATCTTATTTCCAGTGCCTAGCACATAATGGTTTCTAAATGGAACTGATTCCAAGATTGGCCTCATTTAGGAATGGATCTGTTGTTATAATCAGGTTTCCGAAATCTTTAGTATCAATACGGAATCCTTTCCTCTCACATTTCACAGGAAGCTAGACTTCTTAAAGCCCAAACATGGATACATCTGAAGTTTCCTTGACTGATTTAAATTGAATTAAAATAATTATATTGTACAGGAAAAACTTTCAAAATTTTTACATTTTTCAGAACATAACTACCTTTTCTTTCTCTACTTTCTTCCCTTCAAAACAAACTTTGCAACATTGGGGTGAGTTAAATAATCAGAAATCTAGCCCCAAATTAAGCTCTCAATGACATGAAACACATTTTTTGCTCCTTTTTAATAAAAATCCTATATGCAGTACATTAATGTTTTCTTTTAGAAATTACGTTGACAACTTAATCCCTAATTTGAGGCATCCATATAATTGGTTTACAGAAAGGTTCTTTGGCAAAATATTTAACACAAGATATATATGAGATGCTGAGATCTGGATAATATACCTTACTTGAAAGGCATGAATAGTTTTTAAACACTGTAGCATAATCACACTTAAGGCCATAGTTACTTTCTTCCCAAATCCCTGCAATTCTATTAGAGGGGAGTTCTAAAAGGCCTGTGTCTTCTCCTGTGTCCACAACTGTAGATGTACACTGATGGCCCTCAGTCCTGCTCTCCAAACTTCAAATAAGGGGCCAGAGACAAGGCTCGGGACTTGGAAAAGTCCTAGAAATTCCCTGCCTCAAAAGCAGTTTCAGAGTTTCACCTTTTCCTAAGGATGACAGAGCTGAGTAGACATGCCAAAGTCTTCCAAATCCTGCTGGTTGTTTTGAATTACAGCTACACTGGCTGTGTACCCCCTCGAGCTTTTATCTCTACATACCTGAATTAAATCCTGTAGTTCCTCTTCGGTTCTAGCATCTGTGACCTCTTCACACGGTCTATATGCCACAGCTATTTTACCACTTTCTAAAACCACAATCAGCAGTTTCTGGAATGCATCTCTCATAGCCTTCTGAATAGCAACCTTCTGGGTTACTTTCCTTTTCATAAGGAATGATAATGACCCTTCCTCCAAGTTATTCAAAGGTTCCTCAGCCATGCCAACTTCGGGACTCCTGCACTCATGGGAGGGCAACACCACCTCTAAAGCACAAAAGAACTTCAGGCTTTGCTTCTGAAGTGGTGTCACAATATCTTCCTTTTCCCTTTCTTCAAGGTTAGAAAGATCCTGAAGCTTGATGATCCTTTTTGACCAGCCATTGAAACCAAAGTAGTAATTTGCCAATTCTTGGCATCTGGAGCTCTTTAGGGCAGGCGTATTATGTTGAACCGCCTATGTCTGGTGCCGAGACGAACCTTCACTGGAGATATCTGAAAAAGCTGCTTCTGGTCGCATGCCTTTTGGTCTCTGTGGGCATCCCTTGCTGAATAAAACTTGATGATGGCATAGAACCCAGGACCGGCCACTGCTGCGTTTGGGAAGACTCGGACCGAATACAGAAGGCCAAACTGGGAGAAGATTGCAAGGCCTTGGCCATGGGTCCAGAGCTCAGCTCCCACACCAGCAAGGTTTTGTCACCCACGATGGGAACCGCAAAAGGTACCAACTCCACCATCCTATTGTCACTGCACGTGCCTATGCCTTTCCATCTTAATTCTAGGATCCTTCCACCAAACACACTGTCTTCCCTAAAAGGAGAAGTAAATTATAAGTCAAATATGCATTAGTGATTTTTAATATTACTGGATTTTATTACTTTTTTTTTTTTTTTTTTATGCTTGGAGGATACTTTCTATTAAAAAAACAAAAACAAAAACATATCCCTTAGCTCTGGGAAATTTTCCTGTGTAGTTTCTCTGAAAATTTACTTTGGATTTTCTAAAATTGAGATAAGGGTCTTCTGATTGGTTTGGGTTCCCTTTTAGAAATTGTTTTGACTTTTCCATCATACTAGAGGCTTTTTTTTTTTTTTTTTGGCGGTACGTGGGCCTCTCACTGTTGTGGCCTCTCCCCTTGTGGAGCACAGGCTCCGG